TCTATTGCTTCAGACACTACTTAGGAGAGCCACAGCGTCGCTGGAAGTAAAAATAAATAACAGCTTAGCCAGCGGAGTTTTTTTTAATCACGCGATAAAATAGCTCTAAATCTCAAAGGAATGTTAAATAATAACCTATGGTTACGATCGAAAACAAAGAGAAAAGCATTAATTCTAATCCTCTCCTTCCATGCTGTGATGGTGCCTTACCACATACAGTGTGCGCCCCTCCCCTTCCTTTAGTTACTCTGTCAACAACGAAGACAAGAGCTTCGTACAGGAAAATCGTGTTTTATTAAAATCGTTGGAAATGGCAATGCACAAAGGCTATGTATATATGTGCTCGATGTGGACTACACCGAATAAAGATTTATGGCGAACAATAATAGGATAAGACAATGCCGGAATGCATGTAAAAAGCTGGTTTGGTTAAAATATATACCTGAACTGATGAAACTTGGGTTTTGTATGGTTTTAAACGTTTACCAAAGTCACTGTTATCAACTTTCTGATAGCTAAGTGTACAGTATTTGTATGATTGCAACATGATGGAATTCTGTCACCCTTTTTGATGAAAAAACTGGCGATATGTTTCAATGCCTACAGAATGTCTTTGACATTTATCAGATTAGAAAAAAAAAACTCGCCTCAAAAGAGCAACCTTATGTAAAATTATTTAAACGATATTAAGCAATCCCCATTAATATTTCGCGCAAAAATATGAACGTATATTTACCCTGAACATTATAAGTTACTCAAAGCTCGCAGTTTCGTTTCTCGGAACGTCTAATGCCCGCGGACAAATATCCCATGATATGGGAAGTCATTGTTTGCATAGTAAAACTAGATTGTGCTTTATAATTGGAAAATGGATCTTAATATCAATATTTGTATCGTTTTTGCGTTGAAGTTTCCATTCCGCTGCAAATGTTTCAAATGAGGCATATTTCAAACTGTATCACTAGGCTGATATTGCCATACTGAATCTATCATATCTACCTTGAAGAGCTGTCAAGGACCTGATCTCTAGTCCTAGACAACTCTTTATCAACGTCCGGAAGAGCTCAATCATTGGAAGTTACAAAATATTGTGATGGGAACCATAACTCAAATTAATGCTGAAGCAATATTAATGTTTCGCGTTATGCAAGGTTATAAAATGCAGTGTAAGCACGTCGTAAGATGTAAGTCCAACGAGATATGCATCCACATATTTATTCGCCGCTTGGGTAGACTACGTGTCGATGTTCAGTCAAACACTATTTCACGATCTCTTCACTTTACTCTTATACAAATTTGTTTCACGTCTCTCATCTTTTGAGGTGTCAAGGCTTGGATCATTGGATGTCAGTGAAAGGCAAACACTTCCCGGATACGATCTCTTTCTTGCGAAGGTAAGAGCTGCAGGATTTGGGGAATACCATGGCTGAGGCTGTTCCAGAATGCTCTTTGTTGTTTCATATCCAAGAAGTTTTGTTTTCAAGTCAAACGAATGTTCTCCAGGGGCCATTGAATATACAGGATTTATAATCATATTTGTTGGGGACTCTTTGCAAAGTTTGACAAATTCTTTTGGTTGCTTCATACTTTTTCTTCTTGTCTTTATCTCTTCCATTGCTTGTTTGTACTTCTTTATCATCAAAGTGATCTTAATGCACATCTCAGAGCGGAACGAGTCCACCATTTCTCTCATTTCCTGAACGAGGGCCTCTTTGTAAGCGAATTGCGATGAGGAAACTTGCAATCTTTCAACTGAAATAAATTATACAGTAGAAGGAAGTCCCAGTTAAACTCAAAATATTGCCCAAACCTTAGTCTGAACAGTATGCGACTGTGCTTTAACCTGCTGACATGCAAGCTCGGGAATTTGAAAGGGATTCTTACTCAGGTAGGCTAAAACTTTTAAAAACGACTCATCCTTCACTCGCTTGTTTCCTTTTTTCTGTAACAGTGCCATGGAAACTGTACAAAGCTCGTTCCAATGATGTTTCGCCAATTTTCACATTGTACTGTCAGTTCAATTTAACATTCCTTTTCTGCCGTTATGAGAAAATCAGTGATAATCAATCCTGACTGTACACAGTGGAATCTGGGCAAGTACCCATTTAGAATACAACGTCTACAGTAGAGCTCTGCAGATCTTTATCTATTTACTTACTGCGCCTTTCAATAACGTGTGGACTTAAAGCTCAACCGACAAATGCGTTTTTCGCTACCGTCAATCAAATGTTCGGCGGCTCATCCCAGCTTCCGACTAAGGCCGAGCACTGTTTCTTTGTCTGAACTGTGCTCAATGATTTGATTACCGCGCGCTCAGCAGTAGTCGGAAGCTGGGAGGAGCCGCCGCACATTTATAATATTATTCACAGTTTACCTTTCTTTCTTTGAGGAACAAATATCCAATACTGATAGGTAAGTCCCGCAATGACAGCAACACCCAAGAGACCGAGAAGAAACACCAAGGCGGTAAAAAACATATCAGAAGAACCATCAAACAGTCCCGTACTTTCTTCCACTTCCTCGTCTGGAGCAGCCGGCTATGGAAAGATAAGGGGAGCTGTAACATTTAAGAGTGTGTTTTGCAGATTAGGTAACTTTCGAGGTTAAGGGAAAAGGGCTGCACAATATATAAGTTTAATAGGCGTGTGTATCACCAAAGGTTGTGGTTTTTGAACCGGTATTGTTTGGAAAGGGCATAGAGTTTGGCAATTTTGATCTGAACTGGGTATAGTTTCTAGTTTATCATTACTATTATTCATCTCTTGACAGGTGTGATGGAGAACTGAAACCCTTTTCTAATGTTTACGCGAAGCGAAGCGGTACCTGGGGAGGGTCTGATCTAAAATATGGCCTACGTTTTTGAGTCAATCTGAAATAAGGAAAAAAATCCACATCTTCGTCTGAAGTAGGGTATAGAATTTAAGATATTCACCTACACCACCCAAAGTTTCCAGAAGTACACTCACGGTCACCTGCATCTCAGTTAAGCGTAATAGAGTAAAACTAAAGGTCACGAGACGTTATACTCTTTTAATAATCAAGCTGACCAAGAGATTGAAGCAGAAGCTAGTTGCAAGTGTTCATCAATAAGAGCCGGAGGAACATCCCGCGGATCTGGTGTGTTAGACGAATACGTAATGAGGAGCTTTGGAGCTTTGGAGCTTTGGAGACAAGCAGGGCAGCAAACGGTAAAGCAGGAGACAAAACAAAGAGCTTGGGATAGGATTGGCCACACGCTGAGGACACTAGACGGATACAAAGCCAGGAGGACCATAGAGTGGAACCCACAGGGGAAGCGCAAGAGAGGGAGACCCCAGCACACCTGGAGGCAAGAATGGCAGAGTTGGAGGAGAGACAGATCACGTGTCGTGGACACTAATGAACGACCTATGTTCCATCAGGAGCGAAGAGGATTGAACTTGAGAGTAACGTTTTACTCGCACGAGTCGCACAGAATTTTATGAAGGAACTTACGTCTAGTGTCTTTGTGGAATTCTGGATGATGTGGAATATTTCACTTATTTGCATGTCGATATAATCCCGACATCTTTGTTCCACGTTCCTGGCCGCCCCTGACAACACCACCCCGTATCCAAATGGACGGTCCAGAATCTCCTTTACATATATTTTCTCATTGAAAATTTCATCTTTATGTTCTGCGGCGACATAAGTGTCTAGCAGTGCGCCATCGATTTCCCCGTTCTCTAATGCTGTTCTGATTTCCACAAAGTCTTTGTAATTCCGCTCTGAAAACAAAATAATTATGCAAGTGAATATATGAAGGGTCATATCCTTAAACTGCGGAGAAAGATTTGAAGACATCAATGATCATCACAGTTATATACAAAACTTAAGCAGCTGTGAAATTAACTGGCTAAGTTGTGTATAGAATTGCGCTTAACATTGATGTCTTCACAAAATAATTATGAAGGTAAACTCATCGACAGCCTAACGATCCTCAGGTGCAAGCATCAAAGAAAAAAAAAACGTGAAGGTACGTAAAATGTTGTTTTGAAATAGCTCTGCTCAAAGTCAGTAATAAAGTCTAATAATTCATCAATTTTATGGAAAGGAAATCATGACTGTGACGGTGTTTGAATATCTGATGTTATTTATCTTAATCAGCACAGATTATTACGATTTTATTTCTCTATTTTCTCGTACGTTTTAGTTTCGATTGAGAAGATATACCAAACACTTAGAATCGAATTTGACCAAATTTCCAAAAAACCTCCAAGTTCGATAGAAATACTTGGCCACTGTTGTTATTTTTAGCTGGATCTCGTTTCTGTGTTTGCAGTTGTGGTAAAACATGGTATTTCGTATTTGATATGTAACATGTACATGAACTTCAAGAAGAATTAAAAGTTAATGTAGTAATACAAATTCTTTCTACTATAGGATATACTTCGTACCTTCGTTCACTCTTGCGTTCTTAAGAATGGCTATTTGATGTTCAGTGGAGTTCTGGATGGTGCCTACCTAAATTTGATAGTGAAGAGTCAGTCACATACTGTTATCCTTCCTTCAAAAGCCGTCGGATAGTTATCTTTCCGAGCACAAGATTGTTACCAATATATTCGTCTTAGGGCTGAAT